GGGGGGGAGCGGAGGAAGAGCAGAACAGATACTAAATATACCCTCTTCACTCTGGGGTAATCAGTGTCTTCTGTGTCCCAAAGATGCTCGCTTTAATTGCTCTCTCATTGGGAGGCAGAGCCCATTTATGAAAGAAAATGTCCCCCTTAATATGACGAGTGTCACACTGACATTGTCTATAGTCCAAGGGAAAAAACTCACAAGGACACAAAATGCAAAATATTGAAATTAATTCACTTTCTCTTAAATAAAAAGGCGCCGCAATTAAAACAAAGGGAGTTTAAAAACCAGACTAATAACACTTTTTTTCAGATTTATAATGAAATGTTTGTAATGTAGATTTAATATTTACACGACTTTCACAACATCCCCACACCTGACAGGCATAAAAATTACCGACGTATTAAAAACTTTTTTTTCCAAAGTTCAAATGCTTTAGAGAAAAGGAAAAAAATGTACACTGCAGCACTTTTTAAAAAAAGATCAAATGAAAGTGAATTTATTAAAACATATAAATAAAAATCACCCAAAACTCCGTGAATCATTTGCCAATTAACAGGATGTTAAAATCACAAAGGAAAATGAGGGTATCTTAAACAATTGATGAGCTGAAAGAGAAAGATTTAATCGTGTTGCGTTTTTGTTTCTTTTTTGGCCGCGTCGCGTCTCCGCTCCCTGCGCTCGTGCCCGCGCCTCTCTGCTCTCCGCTAATGCAGCGCGACGCTCCGATCGCGCCCGTGCCAGGTTTCCATTAAAGCAGCTGCACTCGCCTTGGCACCGCTTCAGACTGGCTCGGCGCCTCCGAGGCCCGCCTTGGACCGCATTCCGCTGCCCTCGCAGCCATTAATTAATAATGCGCCTCCGTTTTGTTTACCGTGGCATTATATGTTAATCAGGCCGAGTCTCCCAGAGTTAAGCGTAATTAGATAAAGAGGCACTCCGGCTCGCCGACGCCGCGGCAGGGTGGCCGGCCACCGCCATGTGACCCGCGGCCCGAACCGAGGGGCGGGGCCTGGGCGGCGCAGGGGCCTGTGGGGGGATGAGACATGAGTTTCATTTGCAAATTGGCCAACAATTAGTTCCCTTTTGTTAGGGCCAGTAATTGCCGCTGATTGAAGGGACGTGAACTACATTTTAAAACTGCCTGTTGTTTTGGCAGTGCAGAATTCTATCAGGCATTCTCCAGTCTGCCTGCTAGAGATGTCCACTTGTGTATGTCCCCCCACAGATATTTATGCAGTGGAATATTATGGAATATTTGTCCCTCACCATAGGTGACTTGAGCCTTTTCTCCCAGGGGATGTAACGTGAGGGAGCCTAAGCAGTCATTCATTACATTATTCATATATTATTCGGATAAACAAATTTGTAAAGAAGTAAACAAAATTCTAAATACTTACAATAAACTATTATTACACATTTTTAAACATAATTTTATCATGTAATTTGATTTTATTGAACTTAATATGTTCAAATAGCATTTTCAGCTGACCAGTAGGTACCCCTGCACCCCCCTGGTAAAATTGCCTATGGCCTCACACTAAGGATGGGGCAAGCATTATTGAGAGTCCCCCACCACCACCACCACCCATTGCTGCCAGGGTGAGGGGCAGGGCTTTGGCATGGGAGGATGAAGGGCAGAGTCTTGAGATGAGGGAGGGGGTCTTGAGATGAGGGGCGGGGTCTTGATATGAGGGGTGGGGTCTTGAGATGAGGAGTGGGGTCTTGAGGTGAAAGGGGCAGGGTCTTGAGGTGAAAGGGGCGGGGTCTTGAGATGAGGGGTGGGGTCTTGAGGTGAAAGGGGCGGGGTCTTGAGAGGCAAGCATCCGACTGCCTTGGGAGGTCATGCAGGTGTTTCTTGTCTGTCAGAAGAACAAGGGGTCCTGGTGCAGATGTGGAGCAATCTGGTCATGCATTATGGGTCTGTTTTGGATTTGCAATTTCGTCCTGGTGACATAGGACACGATCGAGAATCCTGGGATGGAGAGGTCAGCACTGCCACTTCAATAAGATAAGTGGAATTTTAACACTGGTTTAACGCTTTAGGTTTTGGCACAAAGGGCGCACACTCTGCCGTCTCAAACTGCCGCCCGGTCTCAGCGCACAGCCCCCCCAAGCCGAGGCACCTGCTATGGACCGTTACAGTGCCTGAAATGTGGAGTCACAGTGGAATTTAGCCTGTGCTAGCCAACAAAAAGGCCAAAGAAGCCACAGCTCAAGCGAGAACAATGTCCCCCGACATGCCGTGGATACGGGCAGCGTGCCGGACAGGCTGTGCGAGCAGGACCCCTCGTCACCCGCGTGATTTCACAGCGAGCTGATCGGCTCCGCACGCTGGTTCTTTTTCACTCTTCTGGCTGTAGCGTCTCTGTCATTTTTTTTTCTGTTATTCTAGCTAATTAAACGGGAAGCGCGGTAAGGTCACCAGGCCGCGGACTCCAGGACCTGGATCACAGCATGGTCCTGACTGCATTTTCAGCCATTTTCTCGTAGAACGTGCAGTACTACAGGATCACAGAGACTCAAAACACTGGAAGCGTGAGCTCAGCACCTAAAAATACAATCACAGACAACAAATAAGCTGCTAAAAAGTTGCAATTATGTGGTATTTCTAAGAGGCGGCAGCCTCCCTCCCCGCTGACTGTTGATTATCTATAAAATGAAAAGCTTGGAAGAGCTAGAAAAGAATGGAGCAGCCGACGTTCTCTATTCCCAAATCATGCTTAATTTAATACCACCACAGAGGTTCGATTCGCCTCGCTGTTTCCTGCGCGCATCGTTTCTCGCTCACTAAATGTACACGTGACCAGATGTGTGTGTGGTCTTTGTTTTGCAGAAGTAGTGGCGCACTCCTCAGAAATAACAAGCAAGGCGCCGTGAATGCAGGGCCTGCCGATTCCGGTAGCTTCTTCAACAAGCGCCCGTCCAATCGGAAGGCGTCGTGGCTCTGGGTAAAAGTCTTCTGTTTTCATTAAATATTGATGTGTGACGAACGAGCGAGGGGCAAACATGTGCGATGGATATTTAATCAAACGTCTGGGTGCATCACGCATTAGCCGGCGCAGCTGTTCTGCATGCCATGCGACTTCAGAGGTGGCGCTCATTTGTCAGGAATTGACCGCAAAAAAAAACAAAAAAACAATTAAGTGTTTCTTCTGAAACACACAAACTGATTAAGTAGAATATTAAGTGTCTACTCTGAAACATATCCGTCTGCTCAAAACACGAGACTTTCTTTCTTTCTCTTCCCAATAAAGATGACGGAAGCTCAATAAATGGTGCCTCACGCAATCACGCCGGTTGATGAGAATCCCCTCGCAGATTCACTTCTTGATTAATCAGCGCGTTTTCATTGCATTTAGCATGAATTTCCGCCCCCTTTTTAATGCTTCTCTCGCCTCTCCACCTTTTAGCCTTCCTGTCTTCCTGTTCCTGTTTTTTTTTTTTTTTTTTTGTCGGGTCACATCTGCCACTCTCCGAGGCTGCATGATGGGGCTTGTACAGGGGACATCATTAAAAGTCTTTTTCCACACTTTTCCTGGCTGAAATCTCTGTGTCGGCCAGACCTCCGGTTACCTGCCCATTGTATAGGACTCCATCTAATGCAAATTGAACGTGGAAGCCAGTGTACTCTGACAGAGGTCATTTTGGCTGTTCAGGATATCTGTACGCCAAAGCCCCATTTTGATGAGACAGCAATATATATACGCCAAACATTCAGGAGATTATGGCCCAAAGGACTCGCTTAGCCCATATGAAACTAAATAAATTACACGAAATAGGACTTTAATACATACAAAATCTCAGGATGCCCCCAAGGGGTATTAATTTGCCCACTGATTTAATTTAGAAAATTCCTCAATTTCATTACTTAGAAAACACAAGCTACTTAATATCAGGCACACGTGTGATGTAAATACACAGGGATAAATTATTCTGTGCCTCCTACATTCTGTCACTAATTCCTTACCAAATAAATGAATACATCTGCCTCAAAATGGAGAGACACAAGCAGAGGTAAGGCGTTTTCAGAGGCGCCGCAAAGGCCCTAACGAATGGCGAGCCGCGTGTGGGAATCCGCATTGATTCGTAACGAGATTATTCAGTCGCAGACAATCTGCTTCGGCGGTATCCGGGCATGTGCTGCGTGTCTGTGATTGGCGGAAATGCGGACTTTGTGTCTGAGGCGCCACTGCAGCTCTGCGATTGTCGTGCGGCGCTTTGGTGAGCTCGTAGGGCACCTACAGGACACCAGGGACAATGACCGCGAGATCCTGGGTCAAGCCGGTGCAGGTCCCATGGCCAACGCCCTGAGACCGGCAGCCAATCACAGTAGCTCCCAGAGATCTGTGGCGAGGCAGGTGTTGTTCGCGAGGAACCGCAGGCTTTGGCCTCCGTCGTGGGACCATTTGCACTCTGAGAGGCTGCTGTTATTTAATCGCACGATTTTATCATAGTTTGGAATGAGACAGAAAGGGGTAAACTGGTGCAAGCACATTAGTGGATCTCTTAAAAATATTATACTTTGATGTGTAGCGTGTGTGTAGCGTGCCATCGCAGTTTCAAAGCCTATGTATCTCTTTGTTTACTCACACAAACAGATATTTTACTGGCACAAACTGCATAAAGTACCTTTCTTAAAGTCAGGCATGTAGCCAAGTAGTAAAATTACAAGCCCCCACACCTGCAAAACCTACCTGCACCCCCCCCCCACTCCCCACACCTTTTCGGTCAATGAAATCTATGAGGGGGATAATCCCCAGAACACTCGTTAGTTTATTTTATTTCCCTTGTACCATCAAATGGATACCTGTCCCCCCCCCAATCCCATCATACCTGTCCCCCTCAGTCTGCATTCTGCAGTAATTCTTCAGCCATTCCTTACAGGCAGCAGCTCTGTTGCCTCTCTTTGGAACCTGAAACCAGTCAGATAACGTGTTAATTGTAGCTTATCACTGAGACAGCAGTTGACTTCATACAAATATGTCTGCTTGTTTGCAATGTTTATGACACCTATGGTTACATGTTAACAAAATAATAATAAGGTGATTTTTTTTTAGTTTCTAGTCGATTGCATTGAACAGATGGGACCAAAAAACTGTATAATGTTTTTTCATAGCTAAAAGAAAAATCATAAATTCAAACAGACAAGTGTCTTAGGTCAGTTCTACTACTGGAAAAGGCCCAGTTATTGGCAGGTGGGTATATATCTACTTTTAATTTCAGCCTGAGATTAACCAGGGAATAGTGCTGTTGATCTCAGGTCATTCCCAGGGAATTGGAAGGGCAGGACCTTGGATGTGCATCTGTAAGTAACTGATTCTGTGTGTAAGACACTCTCTTATTTTGGTGCTATAATCAAAGCGGCGTCCCTCATGTGCCGCCCCCATGTCCCACCCCAGCGCCACTGGTGTCCCAAGGCGGACCGCCAGCTGTACTTTTATCACACATTGCACACCTTCCAATTAACACCGAGGTTAACAGACAATTAATAGGTGGCATTATCAGCAGAATAACAAAGATCCATTACATATTTTTACATTATTTGAAATAAATCCAAAACTGATTTTCTAGCACTTCTATAGAATATTACACCCGAAACATTGAGGGTGCTGTCATCAGAATGTGCCAGTTTGATTATTTAACTGGGCCTTATTATTTTTAGCGTAAGCATATCACGCCTCTAGGTTACTACTACTCTGTCTCGTTGTGAGGTCTTCTTTGAGGTGTTGTCCGTATTTACAGTACAATATTGTCAAACACCCAGCAATGTCCATCCAACTGCTCCCAGAATTCTCCCTGCACCCAATGCTCCTCTGTCTGTAATTATATTGTTTTCTGTTCTCCTTGAACACTTCATGCAGTGTTGAGTAGACGCGATGGTGTCACAAGCTAATCAGTCATAATCCTGTCACTATATCCCTCCTCCTCTTTTACTGGTTTTTCTTTTTTTTATTTTTTTATTTTCCCTGTGCCGCATTTTTCGAAATGAGCTTTCGCCTGTGAAGTGTGCGCTAGCCTGTTTAATTATTGATCGGTGAAAAATATCTCCCTCTCCCTGTTTCCCCCCCCCCTCCCTCCTTCCGAGGCCCTTGCAATGCACGAGCGAAAGGAGGACTGTTTTTTTTTGTCATCTTGCGACGGTGCAAGAAGCGGCTTCGGATGTCACGGGGACCGCAGCCGCTACTCTGACGACAGCCCCTTTCAAAGTAAACTTCCAACAAACTCGGCGACTCTTTTTTTAATGAAACTGCGTGAAGAAAAAAAATTGCTTGGAAAAGACAAGCAAGCAGTCAAGCTGTCAGGCGTGAGCAGCGAGATGGAACAAAAAGGAACAGTTGAGACAATTACAGCCGTGCAGCCCTGTGACAATTCTGTGGCGAGCGCGCGGTGACGTGATATACGCACAATGCGGGCGGAGCGCGCGTCCGCGTTACTCCGGCGAACAAGACCGCGATCGCCGCTGTTTCTAAATGCAGTAGTAGTAACCAAGGCGTCGCTCATGTTTCCATCATCGTTATTTGTTCCACTGACATCTTCCATTGTCCCTTTCCACCCTAATCTTTTTGTCTCCAAGGCCTACACTCCAAAACAAAAAATGAATATCTGCTTCCCTTTTAAGTTATGCAACCGTAAACAGCTTAATTTTACTGAGCAGCATTGTTGCATTGTTTTCCTTCTTAACTCCCCACCCCCCGGCCCGACCTACTCTTACTAAGAAACTTTGCAGGGTACAGTTAATGTAAAACAAAGGGACACATGTAGACGGACAATGGAGTTTCCCCCCAAGTAACAAAGACGTGGAGGGTGGGGTAGTATGGGGTGGGGGGGCCAGATGGGAAAGAAAGTCCTGTAAGGCATGGAGACACCTTGTGAATAGAAAGGAGTAACCGAACATTACAGCGCATCAGTGAGGGTGTCAGGCGGTGATTATTCTGAGTAGATAGCAGGCTGATTGTGCGTCTTCCTCCCAGACAGACGCTGTCAGGTTCGTGAAATTCCACAGGGCAGAAGCCTGGAAACATAGTTCTGCGTCAGGTCCTGTGGGAATCGCTCTCTCTCTCTCTCTTGTAAATGAAAAGAGACTTTGCATATGGAAATGTGAAGCTATCCAGAAAAAAACGGGCAATTTTGAGAGTCCTAAGTGATCTGAGGAGTGTGGGAGAAAACGGATTGTAAACACCATCTGCATTGACAGACAGACAGAGTCTATCCGGTTGTAATGTAGGGGATGTCACATCGCATAAAATCTCCACCATAACACAGTTCATTTCAGCAGATGATTGCACAGTTATTTTGTCTGTGATGCTCTTCTGGCGGTTTGGCGGCTTGTTGACGATTGCCGAACACTCTCACCACTCGATCCAGCCGCAGTAACAATGCCGATGAAATTGCCGAAACTTTGGAAGTCCCCTTCGCATAAATAATTAGCTTTTATTGCGATGGTTATTATTCCAACTGCAACGCAAATACACAAAAATTAAATTGAACCGAGGCCCGCTTTATCTGCTTGTTGATTACCAAGTGGGTTTTATGAAGTTGCAATTTACTGCCATCTTCTGGCAGATATTGGAATGGCAGAGAAGACAGCGTCTATCGCTAAGGCCAGATAACTAGGCTACTAATATTTTTTCCCTGGCTTTACAAACGGTTGCTTTAACAATATTATATCAACATTTACTAAGAATCGCTATTACCTTTATCGTATGAGTTTCTTATTAAATTAAACGTCACGGGTTCGCTTTATGACTATAGCCACCAGTGGAAAAACTCTGAAAAGACATCTAGTGTCCATGTGGCCTGTATTGTTTCAGTTACAGACCAAAAGCAGATTACAGTATGTATTACTTTAATATCTATATACTGGGCATATTAAAGACTACACTACTGCTGATAATGACCGAATTATCTGTATAGCTGTAAGGTAAAGTGCAAGACTACTGGAGACTGTAGCAGTCTGTTGTCACAGAGACCTTTTGTTTCTTTGCTGGTCGGTTGTTTTATGACACGTTGTTGTAAGCGGAGGAACTGTTTTTAGACTTGCTATTGGAGTGCGATTTCTACTCTGATGTGTTTACTCACCCTGGCCAGCAGCGCTTCAAACTCGGACTTCGTGAGCGGGAGTAGAAAGTCCTCGACAGGCCGCCGGAAATCCTCCCCCGTCATGGCCGGGCAGCCGTGGGGGTCCGAGGCTCGGAAGGCAGCTCTGGGGTCACTCTGGTTCTCCGGCAGCTCCTCCATGTCCATGGCAGAGCGGTTCTTTTCCAGGACGGACTCAACTGAGGAACCTATGGAGGGTCAGAGAACGAGACTAATATCCTCAAACATTATGGTTCATGTGCTTGTCCTGTTCCCCACAGATTTTCACAGGATGATCTGAAGCTGTTTTGGAATAGTTTGGCAATCAGAGCAGCCCTTAATTCTGATGACTTTAAGTTAAACAGTTACAGTCTACGACACCCTAGAGTTATGTCATACCGTAGAGAATTTAACTGGAGAACATGTGCAAAGTTAAGGTAAAGCAGATCTTTATCTAGCAGCACGACTGATGGGTTGGTTTCAGAGTCTCTGTTCCAGAACTCTCACCGGGGGCTGATCGCAGGGCCCTGTGGCGGGCTTCTCTGGTTCTGTCCAAAAAGGACGTAGTATGGGCAGTAGATGGCGGCCTCTGGGCCATCACCAGCCCTCTGGACAAGGGTCGCAGGTCCTGAAGGTCGTCCTTCACCAGCACGAGAGGCATCACCAAAGAAGCGCTGCAGGCAGGGGAGACTGTATATCATTTTACCCCCTGTCAGAACTGTCTCCATTTACCCCTCTCTTCAAGAAAGGTATTGTGAGATGATTGATAATTTTACGCACACATTTTTTTCCATTGTTGCTTATCTAGTGCACGGTCGTGCCATTTTAAACGATTTTGATTACAAAAAGAGAAAAATACACAATTAACTCTCAATATTCTTAAACAACAATCATAGTTAATAAATAGCACTAGGCTTTATTTTCATTTATTTTACAGTGAATTTATTTACTACGTTAGCGACTTTAACAAGCCGATGCAAAGCTGGCATGAGGCAGCTCCCCCTTGCACCAGCCACGCTTTGAAAGATTAACTGAAAGCAAACGTCACAGCCAGCGTGCCTCCTGATTAATAAGTCATTTGCAAATAGCGCTATAGCCCAGTTCGTTTTACCGCCCGATAGCGTCTTTCCACGGTGATACTCACGCTTTTATTTCACACACACTGCGCGAGAATGCGGCGTCTCGCAGCCCCTCTCGCGCCTCACCGTCAGCCGCACGAACGCGTTGCGGTTTCTATAGAAACAGGCCGGGCTCTGCGGAAGGCGCGTGGCTGTTCTTCGTGATTGGTGCAAAGTTACAGCGGTGACCGATTTCACTACGCTTGCAATGTTTGCTTTAAAATAGATGTGACTATTAGCTATTATAAAATATATATTTAAACACTTTTAATAACCCGGCCCCATTGTAATTCTGTGACTAAAATAGCCCAGAACACACGGTATGAGTACACATCTTTATTAATAAACCAGCGAGCAAGCATGCAAATACAGTGTATTGGAATTTGTACAATTACCATAGACGATATAAAAATAGAACTCAAACTGTGGCATGCCTGGAGACGTCGCTAACGTAAATTAAGGAAGCGTGATTATCAAAGTGTAGCCATGCTATCTAAAATACCACGTGTAATATACTTAAGCTTTGTACATCCACACAATCAAGACATTCATGACTGTCTAGCTGTGTAGCAACGAGTATAGAACTGTTTGGTTGCTTGGGAGTAAGAAGTAGCAGGGATCGAGTACGAAGACACTAGATGTAAGTATTCGGGTAGCGTCGTGAGGAAAAAACGCCGCTTTACCGTTGTGTGATTACAGCTCTACCGGAGTAGCATCCAAGGATGCAATGGCATCTACTCTAGTGTTTGTACCTGTGAAGGAGGGACTGACCTTTAATACATTGAAATGCGGCGGAATCACAGAAAATATTCAGATATATTACCCCCCTCCCCAACAATTGACAATTTTAATCTACCACTGACCACTAGGGGGCACACGTATTGTGCCATGTGTGCTGAGAGCCCTAGTGTGTAGTACACGGACAGGAAAAAGCAATATAAAATAAAAAGGACAATACAGTACTCCAGGAGGAATTTACCCTTCACAGCCTTTATGTTCAAGGAATAAGAACAGGCTTGATAATCTGTTTTTCTGCCTAGACACTCCTTATATATGCAAAACTCTTATTTTTCAAGACTCATTTTCAGTAACTGACCTGAGACTCTGTACTTAACCCCTTGTGTTTATGTCCTTTTGGTTTTAGTTTGCATGGGAATGGGCTGCAATGCTAAAGAGAAAAGGCTTCTTATCAAGCCAAAGGAGTGCAGAGAGCTGAAGAAGGCAAACTCAAGCTTTTCCAGGTGTGAGACTCTTTGATGATGAAACACAGAAATTCTAAGGGACACACAGACATCATCGGACTGTTTTCTGCAACAGTCTTTAAATGCTATTGGTTTTAAAAAAGACCTGCTAATATGGTCCTCAACTGGAAACCTCTAACATGGGAAAAAAATATTCACAGACTGCAGTCATGGCAATCCTAGTCTCTAGCTGTAAGTATGAACGGTACTAGCAGGTCAGCAACTCAAGTTTCAGGTTTGGGTTAATGTGCTGCATCACTAGAGCTCAGGTGTTTCTGTCTATGAGCCGGCAAATCCTGAGATTATTCCCTGGCTAAGACATTAAAGTATTTATTTATTTATTTATTTAAAGACACATATACATTTTTTTTTATTTCCCTGGAAATGTAGCGACATCAGTGTGTCACTAAAACATCATGTGACTCTCATGTATGTTATGATGGGGGCCAAGGACGTCACTGAAGGAGAAAGGCGTAAAACACACATCACTGCGCCAAGCAGGTAGGTCAGGGTGAAGCCACTGCTTTGTACAATAAATGGTACCGTATATACATACATACATACGTTACATAAGGCAAATAATAACAGCGTGGTAGGTGGCTGCTGATTATACATGGGGGCGGAGCCGGGGGCAAGGAGGAATCTCCATGGGGGGTGGGGGTGGAGTGCGAGGGGGGAGCGAAGGGGCCGTGAGGCGGAGCAGGCACACGCGGGCGGCGGGCATCTGCAGCTGTCCGGCTGGCGTGTGGCACGGTGCCCTCTCACAGGCTGAAGTCGAAGGTCAGGTCCGACTTTCCCATCTTCTGCTTGTACACTGCGTCAAACTTGTCGTTCATGGAGACGGTGAAGATGTCTTTCCACAAGCCCACCCGCCCTGACATGGGGCGGGGAACAAGACGGGAATGTTTTAACATTTTTCATTATTACTCAAAGTCTACTACTACTACTACTACTACCATTTCTATTATCATTGTTGTTATTATTGTTGTTGTTTTTTTTGGTGTACATACTGTACTAATAACTAATAACAACAACATCAATAATAATAATAATGATATTTTTAACTTTCAATGGGTTTACATTCAGAGTTCACTTCACAGTCACTAATGCAGTTGCATTAATCCTGACACCATGCAGTGTGCAGTATGAACACAAGACCAGTGATAACGTTAAAAACAGCAATGACCCTAAAAGAGCTCAACGGTGCCCCCTGTAGGCAGTGTGCTGCCTGGATCCCGGAGTTGGCTTCACTCACCTCGTTACTCTCCCACTGTGCTCTAATGTAAGTACTGCTCGCATTAAAGCCCATAATAATACTGCTCAGGTTATCTTTGCTGTGCCAGAACAGCCATGATTCCATGCACTACAAGAAAGACAAATGAGGGAAAAGAAATCTAACAGAAATGATATGCAAATCAGATGGAATGTACAAACTTAAAGACAATAACACTTCCTAAAAATAATAATACAAATAAACGAACGTAAAGATAATGATTACAGCAATAAAGTAATACCCAAATCAAAGTAATACCGCATCACTCGCAGTCTGGCACTCTTACAAACAATATGCTTTTCGGCCACTAGGTGGCGATCCAAGCTCGCCACTTCACATATTTTTAAACGGCGCTAATTAAAGTCCATTATGCCAAGAACTTTCAACACCTATTGTAACACGTTTATCACCATTATGTTGTTAATATTTTTATTCATAATAGACACAAATAAAAACAAATCCTGAAATAAGGTTCTGATGAGAACCATAACTTGGGTCAAACGTCATTAACCATTTGAGAGTGTAGTTCAGAATGAGGAGGTCTAGTATCTCTGAGTGATACGGGCACACGTCCTGCTGTATGGGAGTAGGACACACTTTTGTGGTTCCAGAGTACACCAGCGTGTCCCTACAGCCTGAAATAACAGAATAGTGTGGCCAATCTGAGCATGGCATTTGTTCTAATTACAGACAGGAAGAGCAAACACAATGAAGAATGTGGATGGACAGATTGTAGCCTCTGGTGTCTTACTGTAGACACGTGGTACTGTCCCGGGTGCCCTTTACAACAGACACCTTGCTGTGTGTACTGCATGAAGAATCGCACGCTATTGCCGTATAAACTGAGTATTTTTAAAAAAGCAACAGCCTCCGTTCTGATTTCCAGGCCGAAGCAGCAGGTTTTTAATGTCAGTTCCAGCATGGCGTCCGGGAGAGCAGTGCAGTGTTATTTTGGGAGCCTGACTCCCCTGCAGATCGTCTGCGGTGTTAGCCATGCTATGCCTATTTGTGACTGAAATAGGAAGGACGTTCAGACTGCCGGGCGATTTCCTGTCAGCTAGATGCACGGATGTAGGACACCTAGTATAATGAATGTATCCTATAACTAAAGAGGAAAAAAAACAAAAATAATTTTTAATGTCTGATGTGAAGCCCCCCCCCCTTAGTGCCAGTTGAAGTCCATGTGGCATCTTAGGGACTGGTGGTGGTACTGGGGTGAGGGGATGTCATCATTGATTTGCTAATATGGTGCCCCCCCCCCCCAGAGGATGGGTTGAAAGTTACTGCTCCTCTACCATTTGGGTCCTTTGTCCCCATTCAGGTTTTGCCCTCCAGCAACCAATTTTCTGACTTCCTTTCCACCAGCACCTCATCACCTCCCTCTCTCCTCAGCGCTGGTTTCCCAGCAGCTGCTGTGCCCCCCCGCCCCCCCCTCCACTATCCCATCTAGCCAGACCGCCCCGGCCCAGTCCCGGGATGCCGTGTACCTCTGCAGATTGACAGGGCTTCCGAGTCCCCGCACTGCTCGATAAGCTGATGGCAGCTCTCCACCATGGCTTCCAGCTGGGCCTTGTCGCAGGAGATGCCAAGGAAGCGGGTCAAATGCTCCACCACGCTGGCCAGGTCCTGCACGGGGGGAGGGACCTTAAGTCATTCACCCCTCAGAGGGTCAGAAGCCAGAATGTGCCAATCAAGGTCTTCTATGGCTCCCGATGATGGGCAGGGCGTCAGCTGGCATTTCCATGTGTGCCAATGACATCACACACTGTGACTCCTAGAAAATATGGCTTGTTGTTTTACTGATGGTTCATAGAATTATTTAGTTTTATCTACTAAGATATTGTATATTAAAAGACATACTTTCAGGTGGGCTTTTTCAGTCGACACTGCGAATGCAGGGAAAAGTCTAAAGATCACAAAGGAATTTTACGGGTTCATCCTCCAATCTGTGGTAATCCTGGGCGCTGGATTTCAGGGCCAGCGGTAAGAGGACATTTGAACAATCCTTCTTTCCTTATATTTGCATGAATACATGGCCCAAGGTTATCATTTCCTGTGCCACCAACAATTATCTTTAATATAACTAGGTATGTGTTAAAAAGTTATGCCTTCGATTCCAACACTTAGTAATGTATATATTGCAAGCGCAAAGTGATGTACGCCTATAAATACTGTCAGTTTTAGCAATGCCTCTGAACTGCTGTGCTTTTATGCACACAATCATAGATGGAAATACCTGTAGCCTTCAGACTTAAGCTGAATTATGGACCTATCAGAACAGAGATTGAGAAGCGGGGGGGGGGTAAGGGGGATCACAATGATCCTCCTGTGGTACGGACCGGTGCCTTGTTCTGCCATGGAGTCATTTTGACACATCATGTTCTCTCTCTCCTGTTTCTTTGAGCCACAAGCCGGCCGGTTCACCACAGCTTCCCACGGATACTCGGTGGGAATCCACCCTGCCCTGTGCCACTGTCTTCCACACTCTTGACAAGAAAGTTGCGACACGCTCCAACAAACGTCACATATTGCGATTTTTGTGACCCGTGGCACAGATTCTGTAGCTTTTCATTCCCTTTGCTTTCATTTTAAATTCTGGAGTTCAACAAGTAGACCACTGTGTTCACAATACAAAGGTCATAGGTTCAAATCCCAAGGAGCACAAATAGATTGTAATTGGCTTTGGATACAAAGTGTCAGGTGAATGATTCCCAGCAATCATGTTGGATAAATATTAAAATGATTAAATGACTCCTAGCATAAACAGATAATCTGACCTCCTGATGAATATAAATGACTTATTTAGTTTACAATAGATTCTGCACTTGAAATCTCTTAACCATAAACATGTCGAGGTCCATGACATCCACACAACTGTCCACTTATTATGCATTCATGTTATTTACAAATTTAGTTGAACTTATTGTGCTGAAAAATCATATCACATTTGATTGTCAAGCTCTCTCGCCTTTTTTGCCTGGAGTATTTTCTGTGAGTATTTCTGACTAAACTCCACACCAGATTAAGGTATGGAAATTGCTTATGAAATTCCATATTAGTCTCTGCTTCAGAATGTAATCCAGTGAAGCACAAACAAGGAGTTACAGGATTAAGTTCTTAAATTTTTTTGCAGCTTTTTGCGCATCAGTGAGTATGTGAAATACGTTTTACAGTCGGCAGGAAATCTGCAGGGGCTGGTCCATGCCGAGGCAGGATGAGACGTCGTTTCAGCACCTTGTACATGTCCTCGTACTTCAGGAAGAGCACGTTGGAGTCCAGGCGGTGGTCCCAGAATTCCTGCACGTGCTCAAACCAGGAGCCATATCCCACTACGGACAGGGACATAACAGGTGATTAAATGCTCATCTCTGAATTCCGCTTATTCTGCACTGACTGTTATTAATTAATAGGTGTTTCTTCTGCAGCAGACTACAGATTTCCCCCTAAAACTGGGCTCCCCTGTCCTGGTCTCGAAGGCCCAGTCTGCCACGCAGTTTGCAGGTTTCCCTGCTCAAACACACCTTATCCAGTTCATCAGCCAGTTACCAGGTTTAGTAGGTGTGTCTGAGCAGGGAAACCTGCAAACTGTGTCCCTGTCAGACTGGAATTAGGGAGTCCTGTTCTATAACAGCAAAACAAAGACGTAAGACTTAAGAAGTTACGTAAGTACTAAACAATTCATTACTACCAGTAATGAGGTATTGCCTATTTACCCGGCATCCAAAGACCCACCCTCTACCTCCGCAAGTCCTCAAGTGTTATTCTATTTCTGTGTATACTTGAGCTACTGAAGGCCTACATTTCCTTTAGGATCAATGAAGTATCTATCATCCATCCATCCATCCATCTATCCATCTAGATGGTGTTTAAACTCCGGTTTTCATTCGGGTCCTGCAGAAAGGGAGCTTTGCTAACATTGCCGGTGACCCCCAGGACTCACGTTTGTCATTCATAAACCTGCGGCAGAACTCCTGGAAGGTGCCCCGGTAGCTCATGGTCCGCAGCGAGCGGTGGAACTGGTAGTAGGACACCACTAGGTCTTTGGGGTTCCTGGCCATGTAAATCACCTGTGGAACACAGTGGTGAACTGGTGAACATGCACTACGGAGAGATCAACAATAACATAACATGATCCCAATTGTGCTGGATTTCCCCCTCGGTCGAGTCCTTGCATTCAAGTTGAATGGGGTCTCTACTTGTGTCTGTGGGCGAGGTTAACCCCGCGTGTGCCGGCTCACCTTGGACTCGCCATTGTGTAAGGCCATGGGAAGGAAGCGGTAAGGTAGGTGGCTCTTGATCAGGCGAGGAGACGTCAGCTCCTACAGGGTCACCGACACAAAGCTGCAGTTAATGACAACCATCTGGCTAGAGCAGGACCAAAGTCTGATTCCAGTGTACAACAAAATCTCGAGATAGGAAACACCACAATTAAACAGAGAACTGATTACACCTGCAATATTTCTACCACTCTCTCTCCACAGCAAGTTTAGCAGGACTGATCAGAACCTGGATGATATCCAGGCCCGGCTGAGGGTACTCCAGAACAGGAAGCTGCTCCTCGATGTTCATCAGCCCAATCTCATCTGGGTCAGCTCCTTGGCTTACAAGGTACACCAATTCCTGGAGCAGACTCGTCCCTGAAGGAGAAGGCGATGAGGAAACCAGCATCAAGAGTGAGTTGCACCATGTCCTGAATGAACAGTAACACTCATCTGTGTTCAAAGTCACTTAAGGATAGAGGATCAGTGTGAACCAGCTGCTGTACAGAGGGTACGCACATGATGTCAGAGTAGGCGGAGTCACTGAGGCCACACTGACTGAGCGTCAAAAATACGGAGTGGCAGCATTAGAGATCAGCTTGGACGCCACGAAAACACATCTAAAATGAGAAAGAGCTGTTGTGTATATGTATTGCTGCCACTGTGATAAAATAAAATTTTCCCAGTTTCACTGGGTTATCACTATCTTTTTACAGAATGCTGAAATGCAAAATAAAAGAGAAGCAAATGTATTGCTACAATCTGCAGGAAGAACTGGAATGCAGGCCCCGAAACGTGGATTTGCGGCTGTCGTTTTGTGTCAGTTATGTCATACTTTAAGTTATATACTGCATTGACTACTGTATCAATTAAATAATTGGGATTTATATTAATTTATATTAATTTATATTCTATGTAACTGTAAACGTTTCGTCAGCAATGATGATGAGCCTTGAGGTACAAACAAAGTGCGTTTTGGTTGGATAGTGTTAACTAGCCAAGACAAACCCAGTTTTCCTTATAAGGGGTTACTCCACAAAGCCGGTTTAGACAATTAACCAGAAACCAAAGTTTTTACAAAATGTGTTGTCAGGAAACGTAACAATGTCCGTGGTCCACCGGTCCTTTGGGAAGCTGGAAGGATCCCTGTCGAGTCCAAATATCTTTAATTTAAGCAAATAATCATGTTTCGCAGACTAATATCAGCCATGCAGCAGGGGGAATGATCCGGCCGGAAAGTGACTTCAATGCATTCCCTCTATTGTTACATTACCTGTGACCATAGGGTTGAATCCTTGAAAGTTACACAGTCTGCATAGGTTACTACAGAGGGAAGATGCTGTGAAAATTATCCGGCCAAAAGAGTTTGTCAGTTCAGCTGCGTAAATGATTGACAGAACTTGTGAGGTCTACCCGAGGAAATGCCGTTTCAGGACCTGGAAGTGGACTCAAGGAAAGACGGGGCTTCTACTGTGTCCCTGCCCGGCACTGAATGTCTTATTCGGATCATATGAGGTCCTCCGCTCTGTGCTCCTGGTCGAAATGCTCAAGTAGTACAAAGGTCACTGTGTGAGACTGGTAGCATTCAGCAGATACAGTCACCGCACTGCCTGGGCAGGTCGAGCACAGGGGACAGGCTACAGAGCGAGGCCGTCAGCTCGATAGCTGCCTTCGGCGTTCAATTTCCGAAGCTGTGACCCCTGACCTCCAGCATCACCCCAGGATATGTGCTCAGATCCTGTTCACACTATTTATACTCATATATTGAACAATATTCATTAAAAAAAAACCACTGACCAAATTCACTATTCATTACAGCAACATTTGAAAGCTTTTTTCAGAACTGGGTTTGCGCCATTCAATGGTCTGACACTCGGTCTAAAAAATAGCTGCAGCTGTTAGCAGACCTTAGTTAACGTCCGCTATCGTGACCCTTAGCATTTCTGACCCGGTCTAGTCAAGACAGCATATGACACGGAGGCCTCGATTGCTGCAATATGAGGGACAAGACAGTAAATAAACTTACTGTACACTTTAACAGCTGTTAAAAGAGACCTCTGGGTGTACAGGGACTTAAAAGATGCAGAAATCCTGATTTCTCGCCTTTGATCTTCCAAATAGGGATTGATTACAATGATTACCAGAGTGACCTCTGGTAACTCTGAAAGTGCTATATATTATTGTCAGAGTACAAAGTTAGCTGTGCAATGTCTGTCCACTTTGTTCCTTGATAATCCCTTCTACGTACACGAAATACATTAAAGCATTTAACCTTTCTTTATTTCTATGCTTGTTCTGATAATCACAAAACCTCAACGTTCATCTCTAACTTCCATATTTTTTATTTACTCCTATGCATATTTTGCCTTTTCGATTCTGCCTTTCAGGCTGCTCTTCATTTTTTCATAACTAGAACATGGTTGGAAAGAAATCCTTTGCTTAAATCTATTGCTTAAAACTAATAATCCAACACAAATAAAAGTATTTGTGCATTTGTTTAAAGATTTTCAGTGTGAACTCAAAACCATACGGCATTCTCTGCTTTTTGTCTTTCCAATAATTCTCCACCTTAAAGTACAGAGATGTGTCTGAAATAGTTCCTGACCCAGGAAATAGATTGTTTTCCTTTTAGAAAGCTTGGTGTATCCATAATTTACAAACCATAATGGAACTGAAATTAAAAATCAATAAAAAAGGATGAACTGTACATTTTCAGGTAAAATATTTAAAATTATATATTAATGAAATATAATTATTATGAATATAGAATGTATCGGTCCGATATTGTATTACAATTGACCTCTGGTCCAGCGGTTTTTATGTTTAATTTACTCAAGTGATAAATTAAATACTGTAACACAGATTAAATTTGCTTTCCAATACCTGCCAGAAAAATGTATTTGAAGAAAATATATGTTTTTTCTTTATGGTAACAGAGGTGTATAGGGACACCCCCTCAGTGCTGACAGGGTGTGAAATGATAAGTTTGTCAGAGATGAAGCAGCACTGACCCCCCCAGTATAAATACAACAACTAGGCACACCAAACACTTTGAAAATTCATTTTAAATAACACAGTTTTTAATATAATCATTAATGAAAGATGTGATAAAGATCTTTCTGCTTCCTACACAGAGGATCATACTGAGAAATCGAATCACCAAGCCTGAACCTTAGATCTCAGGCACCCAGAGATATTTCAGGGCCTTAAGAGGTGCACACTTGCATGATCTCCCACAATCCTTCACTTCATCACTTTATATATACTTCTGTTGTAGAAATAAAATACCACCGTATATTTTAGGACTTACCCTGTCTGTGCGTCATAACTTGTGTTTTTATGGAGGACAGAAGAATTGTGTCATGTTTAGAAGATAGTTAAATGTATACATTCCAAAATGTAAGATAAAGATGTCAGCCATACTTGTCAGTTTGAAAACACCTTAAAACTGTAGTAAACCTTAAATTTAAACGCAAAATCCCGCTCTGAGACCTTGCACCCCAGGATACAATGTGGCACTAACGGGACACACCCTGTGCCACCCTGGCAGCTCCGTCTATTGTGACAAATCCGCCTCTCGGTGGCCGTAACTCCGCATCCTTCTGCGGGGGACACTCACCTCCAGCGCGCTGTTTGTCAACAAAGCGCGTCGCCGCAGCCGCGGACCCGGGGCGCAGGAGCGCTGTGGGCGCGATGGCGGCTCACAACCAACACTGTATATTGCACTGAGGGCCTGCTCACTAGCAGAGATGACAGATCTACTAAAAGGTCGGTGATCAAGGCTGGACATTCATCCTCCCTTATCGATTTAGACCACCAGTCGACTGATACAGCCCTCATACAATGGTCATCAGAAACATTTAACAGTCAATACTTGAACTAGTATTAATAAAAATAGTATTTGTAAACACAAGGCGCATCACGTTGGATCTTAGTTTAAAGTTAAATGTAAATTTGTATACCTCCAGTGCTTGTTTTGAATTCCGTTATGAAGGATCGCAAAGGCTGGCAACTTATGTAACGGAACCCCAGCTGCATCCGGGATGGATTTTAATAAAACACACTGCGGTTTGCTTGTAGGGCAGCGCACTATTAAGTGTGTGATGTGCAATAAAAATAAAAACAGTCAAATGCATCAGTATCATAACTGAATTCCATGCACAGGGGAGCCCTTCCAAGAAATGTGTGGGATGCATGGAAATATGTGTTTTTCCGCATTACTCTGCGACACGATTCCTTCGTATAACTGAAATGCTAAGGTGTAATGTCAACAAAATGCGTTACCTGATTTTGGATAGGTGACAATCCATATATCACTACTCCTGAGAGAGAAGTTGGCGATTTCCTCCATCTTCCCTCTGCAGAACGGAGGAAGCCTCACGCCATTATATTCGAAATATTTGCTCTCAAACTCGATTGGGGTGCTTGGCGTTTCTGCCTCGCTCTCTGCCATCATGGAGCCGTGTTTACGGATAACGGATATATCGCTAGGCTTGCGGAGGCAGGGGGGAAAAAGGTTCAAGACGCCAAAAAAAAAATCAGCGAAAACTATGGCGAAGAAGCGCTGGTTTGCGAGCCCTTGACCTTCAGCCAATCGCGTCAGGACATAGTGATGTAATGGGATTCGCTCGGAGATGCTGGGGATGATGCTGCGGCTGCCGTCTAATCTCAGCACCAGCGCTCTGCCGGCGGCTTGTCTCCTGCGAATTGCTCGCTTGCATTCTGCCGTTAGAAATGCCCTGCCATGCAATATTAATAACTTACAACCACCATGTTTTTCCTTATTTCGGCTGAGGTTTTAAGATGCAACCTCTACCTAAATGTACATGCGTAGGCCAATATATACTATACAATACCATACAATAATACCTGTAATAATGTTTGTAAAATGTTGTTCGTTGTATTCTGTGTTATCACAAACAAGCAAGGCCTTGTACACGCATGTAATGTCAAAGTATGGCAGAATGGTCACTGCCGCTTTTTTTCAATAACATTACAAATCAAAACATACCCCCCCCCCCCCCTAAAAATAAATAAATAAATAAACGTATCGCGATCATAATGAGGGGATGTCGCAGCGAATGCTGTGATCCGTCGCGTAGGTATAAATGTGATCTTTGGGCGACCAGAAACATGCGCGATATAATGCGATGGATTCAAAGTTAGAGCCGCGCATGACGGGACCTGCGGCGCGCGGCCGGCGCGGAGGGAGGAGCGCCGCTCCCGGGAGGGAGGGGAGTCCACCGACTCCCCAGTGCAGTCGTCTGCCTCTGTGATTGGCGGAGAAGACGTGGGCTTATTTGATAAAAGTCTCATTGATAGCGTTAATAAGAGAAACATGAGATTCTCAGAAGTTATTTATACCAGTGTGGGCTGCTTTTACCATACATGCATTTTATACTTTTTAGATCTGAAGCAGACCGCCTTTGTAGATGTCTTATTTTCTAGAGAATCTCAAGTAGCCGATATATTTATATATTCGTAATATCTTTAGATATTTCCTGCAAAATCCCTTTTTTCTAGCAGGTTATGTTAGACTTAGAGGGAGGATGGAGCATTTCCTTCGCCGGCTGCGGCTTTTTGGGCGTCTACCACATCGGAGTGGCCGGTTGTTTGCTGGAACGAGCCCCGTACCTGGTTGAAGGCGCCACGAAGATATACGGGGCTTCTGCTGGTTCCCTGACTGCCTCCGTACTCGCCACGCGTGCCTCGTTAGGTAGGCAGGATGCGATCCGGTTTAGCTCTTTAGGTGTTTTGCAAGAGAAAGCGGTCTGACAAACTGGATTATTGAAAGTTGGTTGGCGTGCATTTATTGCACAAAACTTAATTTTCCCTCTTGCGTTATTGCTTTTGCGTTGTTTCGACTTTCTACGTTGCCACTTGTACGTTTAGTTTGTATCCAAACTATTGATTAAATATTCTAAACAGGAGCGCTGTATCAATAACTTTCAGATACTACTGAATGAATGTCTGCATAGTTGTGGTGCTGTCGCCATTTCTATTCTTTAACAAGCGCTTATGCCGGTATCCTGACATTACCATTTTTATCCCATAAGATAAAGTGCAGTGCATATATTAACGTTTCTATTTATTTCCTCAGTATTTCTCTATGCATAAAGTCCGTCTGCACAGAAATAGGACCAAATGCACCGATTTTTTTAATTATTCCTGTAGCATTGCCTTTAAAGGTACCTTTTTATATTGCACTGTTTATTATTCATTGTGTAGTCCCCACTTAGCAAGTACTCTGTTATAGGCAGAGTACTGAGCTTTTAAATATAAAATGTTACAATGAATAAAAGAAAGTGTGTTCATTCTGAATGGATGCTGTTTTCCTCTCATTTTTCCCATCTTTAAAAAAGGTTAACTACTGTACGCTGTAAAAAAAATCGTAAATTACTGGTAACTGTGGTTGCTAGAATTTCACCGTAAAAATTACAGTAGTGCTGTTTAATGTAATACGGTACATATTATTATTCTGTAGCGCTCCCCTTTTCCATACACTGACTCAGTCTTTACTCGCCGTGTATGTCTTTCAGACCTGATGTCATCGGTCGCGCTTATCCGCAGGTACCCTGACCTGCTTATCTGTTTTGGGGTCGTTGTTAGCACACGATAGCCAGCAAATTATCCATCAGCTGAGCTTGTCAGCTCCTGCCGTGGAGCCAATTGGCTGTCAGCGCCTGAGCTGATCGGAGGCGGAGCCCGTTCTCGTGCTCCTGCGATGCAGAGTTTACTGTAGGTCAGCGGCTACCACTGGGGTCAGATCAGCGCACGGGGGCGGCTTTAGGTTTGCGTCATCGGGGTGCCGGGAGTGCGCGGTCCGCGGAACTCAGGTTTGGGGTGGGGGTTGTTAATTTCCAAAAATAGTCATGTATTTCAAACGATCGGAAAAAATGTGACCTGCTGAACTTAGGAAATCGCCAATCGATCAGCAGGAACCCCCCCCCCCCCAAACGCAAAGACACAGGGCGAGTCCATGAAATTTGGCTGATTTTAGCCATCAGATTTTGTACACCATTAGAGCTGAACAGTGTAATGGTTTTTTAACATTGAGCTATCTTGTCTGGTGAAGAAAGGTGCTGTGAAGATGTGCTCATTCTGGCCAGGGAGGCGCGTAAGCGAAGCCTGGGGCCCCTTCATCCCAGCTTCAAGTGCTCGAAGGTCATCAGGGCGGGGCTCGAGCGAGACATGCCGGCCGATGCCCACCGCCGCGCCTCCGGGCGCCTCTGCGTGTCCCTCACGCGGGTGTCTGACGGCGAGAACGTGCTGGTGTCCCAGTTTGACACCAGGGAGGAGCTCATCCAGGTGAGCCGACTTGGATGCAGACTCTGCTCTGCTGAACGTCAAAGCTCCAACTGAACTCAGCCTTGACTTTAGGGTTAATTTAATTAACCTACTTTAACCACAAGTTATAAGCCCAAACTCAAGGTGGAATGAATCAAATCTGTATTTTGAGGACGACATCCTATATCCTAAATGTTTTCTCTGCATCCAATTAGGAAGGTTTTTTTGACTGATCTCTTGTTTTAGGTATAAATGATATGGCCAAGGTGGGACAGGCAATGTTGGAAATCATAAAAACCTTGCATTTTCCCTCTTCCCCCTAGGCTTTACTCTGCAGCTGCTTCGTCCCCATGTACTGTGGTCTGATCCCGCCATCTTTCCATGGAATGGTAAGACTCGGGCTCTTCTCATGTGACCTTTTTCCTCAAAAGATCACATGACTGCCATAACACACCTTTGACCTGAACAGGAAGGGTACAGAATGAAGGTTAAGAAGGCCAACTACAGCCAGCTCTGTAATTTTAGGAAATGATCACTAGGGAGACCTCACACCTCTGGGTCCTGGGTTGGAGTCTCTGCCACATGGCTCCACGTGTGTGGAGTTTGGCATGTTCTCCCCGTGTCATCATGGGGTTTCCTGTCACGGTCCAAAAACATGCTGTTGTTAGCTGGAGTTCCCAAGCTGCCCTTAGGTGTGCCTGCGTACGTGAATGGTGTGTGAGTGTGCCCTGCGTACGTGAATGGTGTGTGAGTGTGCCTGCGTACGTGAATGGTGTGTGAGTGTGCCTGCGTACGTGAATGGCGCCCCCTCCTGTTTGTGCCTGTAGTCTCCGGGACAGACTCCAGACCCCCGTGACCTTGAATAGGACAAGCGGTTACAGAAAGTCAATGAATAGAATAATTATTCATAATCATTAATCACAGTGTCTGTATGTTTGATCAGTTCATCTAAGGGACTGATGCAGGTCAATGAGTGTGACTGAAATCAGAGACTGAAAGGCAGTTTATATAATGTAGCTGTTCACTTCTAGTTTAACCTTAGACCATAATATGCTGTTACACTATTGGCACTAGTGTTACTGCACCAGTATGTACTATTCCTGGCCAAGAATTATGCTGTCTCCGCTACCCAGGAATCTACTAAACATAGTAATTTGAGGAATTATCAGATCAACTACAATTCAAAGCAGAAGATCTGGTAATAGTCGACTCCCGGAGCAAAATGGCGGACTGTCTGCGGGTTCCTGAGGACAGGATTGGGAAACGCTGCCCTATTGTCCGACTGAGCGAGTAATAGCTGAGTTACATAGCTGTGGTTGGCTGCCTTACCATTACTATTCAAGTGACAGATGTGTACTGGCCAGTGTGGTTCTTGTTGGGTTTGAAAAACTTACTATAGTGAAGAACCTTGAAGAAGTGGAACAGATTCAGTTAATTAGTGGGACATTTAAAGTTCGGCACTGTAAGTGAAAGAAATGCCACTTTTGACACGACCTTTGAGAACAACATACTCTTCACCGTGAAATTGAATTGAAAACCTTTATTGGCATTACATGTTTATACAATGAATTGCTTAACAGAGTTCAGTTCTAGTATAGCTCCCTGGTAAAAACTGTTCTGGAATCTGGATGTGTAGGAATTTATTGCCCACTAGAGGGCAGTGTTGAGAACCAGTCATGACCAGGGTGAGTTGGGTCTTTCAGGGTGTCAATTGTCGATCCTCAGCGTTACGTGGACGGAGGCATGAGCGACAACTTGCCCCTGTATGCACTGAAGAACACCATCACTGTGTCTCCGTTCGCCGGCGAGAGCGACATCTGCCCTAAGGACAGCTCCATAAGCTTCCACGAGCTACGGGTCACCAACACCAGCATCCAGATGAATGTGGATAACGTGTACCGGCTTAGCAGAGCTCTCTTCCCACCGGAGCCCAAGGTACGTTCCTCCATGAACACTTCCAGGTCGGCTCACTGGGGCAACACGCCCCCAAACCACCGCATCCCATAATGCTGGCCCATTTAATACATATAGCCATGCTGAAAGAGATGCAAACTTTTATTGATCACCATGAAGGAAACCACGAACTGGCCAATTACAGAATCCAACTGGGAATGATGTCACACCCGAGTTCATCACGCTTCAGTACAAGAAGTCGGACAGCCATTTAGCAATACCAGGGACCTGTTTCAAACACCGGGATTTCTTACTTTGCCGGATAACTTGTGGGATTTAATTTATCCAAGTTTAAATGGCCTTTATCTTTGTTCACTTACATTTAGCCCAGTCTTAAATCTTAATCTTAAATTCGACAAGTTATCCAGCTGAGCAAGAAATCTTGCTTTCTGAAATGGGCCCCGGTTCTAGCCAGGTTCGTTGTTACCCATTGTGAGCAATATCAGTGCATTATACAGTGGGCGTTTCAGTTGAAACTTCCGACTCGGAACTCAGAAATTCCGACTTCCTAGTTCAAATGGAACGCAACATTCGGCACTGCTGGGCCCCTCCCCAGCCGCCTTGTGGACATCCTAGAAATAACAAAATGAAAGCATCACTTTGAATAGAGTAAAAAGCCGACCTGGTGTAAAAACCTATATGTGGCAAAGGAACAATAAACTTCTATCCACCTTCCAACTGCTTATAAACAGCAAGATAACTGAGGTCAGAGCCTGGCAACCAGACAAGATCTATCTAGCTGTCTTTATCTTTATAGTGATGTATTGTTTTAAGACTTGTACCTGTATACTGAGACCATTCAAATGAAAACAAGTACAAGACCACTTATGGCGCTTTTCCACTGCATAGTACGGCACAGCACGGTTCAGTACAGCTCACCTTGGTTTGGCTCAGTTTGCATTTTGACTGCAGTTTAGTGCCGCTTTAGAGTGGGCGGGATTATTCACGTGTCGTTATAGTTGCGCCGCCTCTATTGCCGTGACATCATCGTAAATGCGCCACAAACAAACACACAACAATGGAGCATATCGACGGAATGGTGTTCTTCATTTTCGGCATGTGGATGTTTTTAACAGCAAGACCATTTTAGTTAAAACAAAATGGTGCGTCCGAACCTTCGCTGGCTGTGCTAAAAATCTAGCGGGTCTGTTGTGTCTCGTGTCGCAAGTTCAGTGACGCAGTAATGACGATTTTCTCCGGCCAATCAGTGACCAGTAGAGTTTACACGTCACGTTTTGGTAACGGTTCGGCGCGCTTGGAACCTCGGCTGAGGTGGTACTAAAAAAAGGACCAGGTACCAGGTACTGTTCCCAGTGGAAAACCCCCCAAAAGTGAGCTGAACTGAACCGTGTCGTGCCGTACTATGCAGTGGAAAAGCGCCATAAGTCACATAAAGCAACGTTAGGAAGGAATTCTTTGTGGAATTTGTGTGACCTCGGTGCAGGAAAAGGTTGATAGGAGGAGATTTACGAGCAGAAAGCCTTTGTGGGGGGGTGGGGCGACTGATCTATGTGCCAAAGTGAATTTGTGAGTCTAGTCTCACTGGAGCCGGTTTTGCTCTCCCTCTGATCCCGAGGTCACGGCACCCTGGTGCATTCTGCAGCCTCACATTCCTGTGAGAGACCTTTTTTTTTTTCCTTTTTATTATTATTTGGCACCAGTCACCTCTGATGCTCATTGTGATGTTTACAGACATCAGGCTTTTATGGCATAAAACTGAGGTACCCCAGAGCCCTTAAAGTCTCACGTGAGTGACCTACAATGCCTGTCTGCAGTAAGGAAGTCTCTATCTGATTGGCTGCAGGCGTATAATTAGTGATTAGAGAAATGACTTTGAAACACTCTGTGTGTGGGATTGTTATGTCTATCGGAAGAGCACCTAGAGAAGGACAAGAAGGACTGAAATGAAGAAATTGTTTTATCCCTTTTAAGTTTAACACAAGAAAACAAAATTCAGCCCTAAATCTTTCAGTTTTTTTGCCAATCATACTAAAACCAGAGAGGGGGCCCTGAAATAGTGTAAATGGGTCTGAGGCCCTGAAATAGTGTAAATGGGTCTGAGCAGAGAGAGGGCCCTGAAATAGTGTAAATGGGTCTGAGGCCCTGAAATAGTGTAAATGGGTCTGAGGTGTGTTTAGGGGGACTGAGGGTGTGCTGCTTATATCGCCACACTTCATAAATTGCACGTTGTCTCTCTCTGTGAGGCAGGTGCTGGCTGAGATGTGCCAGAGCGGGTACAAGGACACGCTTCGGTTCCTTACACAGAACAGTGAGTATCCAGTGTCTGTGTGGTCAGATGTATAGATTCTGGTGGCATGTTTGAACCTTAGCAGTTAGGAGGTGTTTGATTTAGGGTAATTGCTGAGTGTTCGGAACGAATGTCCCGTTGCAGACCTCCTGAAGCTGGACTGCCCGTCTGCTGGCCTCTCCGTGAAAGACGCCCAGTGCCTCGCACCCACCTGCCATTGTTTCTCCGTGGCAAAGAGCGGCCAGCTGCACGCGGAGGGCGCCCGGGCGTGGGTGCTGCGGAGACTGCGTCGCATGCGGAAGCAGCACTGGTGTGGCGACAAGCAGATCGTCGACTGCCTGCCGCCCTCGCTGAAGCAGGGTACGCGCCCTGCTCCGCTGTGGGGGGACTGCGCTTTCTGCTATGACGTTTTTGGGTTTATTGATTTTTCCTGTCTTCCCAGTTTTCCTCGAGGCCTGCATGGAGCAGCACGGTCTGTACGCCCAGGTGGTGGACATGCTGCCTGTGCGAGTGGCCTCCTACATCCTGCTGCCCTGCACCCTCCCTGTGGAATCGGCCTACTCTGTAATCCAGAGGTCAGTGATCACTAGTGCAGTGCGCGCTCTGCTTGTGTGTGTATGTACATCCACTCCTCGTAGCGGCCGGGTTCCGATCCAACACCCAGGTCGTTAAGCCAAATGGTCGTGACTCCGACCGTGCTTATGACTTTACGTCAGCCTTTTGTCCTTTATGAAGGGGACATATTTAACAACATTTTGTACATTGAACTTCACTCCGACATTGTACAGGCATATCCAGTTGTATCTGCATAAGAAATTTGCTTGTAAAGGGACACATCATTACAGTCTTTTTTTTTTTTTTGTGTGAATGGTCACTAACAGAGGTGGCCACTAAACAAGTAGTGGTTGTAGTTTAAATGATGACTGCCATTTTCAATTAAAAAAAGGAAAAAAACTGATTTGACTGAGTTTGTGATGAAACAGCGCCATCTACTGGTTACTACTTAGTGGTCGCTGTGTTCAAAACAAATCCAGTTTCAAGCGGCCCACGCACGGCTCTGAGGTGTGCGTTTTGACACAGCTGTACCACCACTGCTGTCACACGGCAGGTTTCTGGAGTGGATGCCACAGGTGCCCGAGGACGTGAACTGGCTGTGTGGTTTGGCCAGAACTGCGTACCAGCAACTGTGGAAGGGAAGGTGAGAGATCCTGCCTCCTAGCTGAGCCACCCCCTGCAGCCCGGTCTCGCATGTGGAATCTCCCCCTAGATCCATACAGGGTTGCTTCCTATGGTGCTTAACCTGTATGCCTGCATGCATTTTGTTTAAATCAGTGTTTCCCAATTTGGTCCTTGATGTGCCACAGACAGACTGTAGGTCCCCGAGGACCGGATTGGGAAACACTGGTCTAAATGATAAATAAAATGACGCATTTTGTGTGGGACATCGCTGCAAGCAGCAGATACCTGGGGATGGACGTCAGTCGATTTTTTTGTTTTACCAAATAATGAAGTACAAAAGGCAAATCAAAATTTGCATACTTATTAAGGTTCATTTATACTGCTAAACCGCATAGACTAGCTTAGCATCCAGTCCATTTTGTGCTACAAATGGAGGTCATGACAATGGTCTGCAGGAAGCATGCAGAAGAATTTCATTTTATTCTATACACATGACGGTATCGTAGACAGACTAGGCAATTAGTTCCTTTTCAAAGGTTCAGATTAGATGATGTTTGCACCAGAAAAGTATGAAGTTTTTAAATATGTGTAAGAGACAGAAATGAGTGAAACTATAAAATGATTTTTTAAAAATGTATTCCTAAATAATGGGTGTGAAGACAGATTTTTTTCCTAATTTGGAAACTTGCATTTTATGTCCGTAAGCTGAAGAGTACTTGGTTATTTTTTGTGGATTTGTTAACGATCAGACTTTCCAGAAAGTTCTTTGCGGGAGAGCGGGCGAGAAGTGGTGACTCATCAACGATCAAAATCTTACCACAGTAACAACCCAGTGGCAATATGGAGGCCAGTTGTTAGACTCTCTTCCAGCAAAATGGACTGGAAGATGTAGACTGGTGGGACTGGTACAACTAGTTTGTCATCCGCATTCGAGACTGGTTTGGTGTCTGGGGACCATTGTCCTAATTGTTTGTTTTGCTATCTTTACATGATGTGTATAATTCCCTTTCTACAAAGATTCATTCTTAGAACAGTGTCACCACAATATGTTGTTACCCAAGAGTGACAAGCAATATGATGATGTAAAAGGAAATGAAGGTGACATCACCGGATGGGTCTGGCACAGGGGACTGACATCTCTGTATTTACCACATTGTGGGGACCCGCAATCTGTCAATGTGATCCAAAAAAATTAAAATGGTTAAGGTTAGGGCTGGATAAGGGTCAGAGTTATCATATTTATGATTAGGGATATGCTCTTAGAGATGCATGGAGAGTCCCACAATGAGAGGAATATATTTAGTGGAGAAGTTGCATGCAAGCTAAAATAAAATACAGTGGTACCTCAGAACTCAAATTTAATCCATTCAGAACTCCGGATCGAATCCTAAAAAGTTCGAGTTGTGATCGAATTTTCCCCATAAGAAATAAAGGAAAACCAATTAATTGGTTCCCGACCCCAAAAAATTACACCTATTTCCCAATACCCTGACGTCTGTGCCTTTGTCTCCGTTCCGTCCCTGCTCAGCACAACAATATTATTATAATTAAACGTATTAATGGTTTATTATTAATATTAATGTATTTTATTATATAATAATAATTAGTTACTGTCTCATTATCTCAATGTATTTTTACTGTCTAAATATATGTATTCAGCTAGTGTAAACATGCACGATGCTATCACAGCCAATGTGAGGCTGAGACTGAAGCGTTACCCTTTGTTTCCGCTGAGAGACGTGCTGCGTGACTCATTTCCCTGCACGTACAAGTCATCTTAGGTCGGCGTTCACGGTTTGACTTCTGAGATTCAGATCGAGCTCTAGCTAAATTTTTTTGGAACTGGTTGGTTCGACTTTTAAGAAATTCGAATTCTAATGAGTTCGAGAACTGAGGTACCACTGTATTCCCTTCAGAACTCAGTCTCCAGCTGAAATTTCTACAGTAGCGTTGTGGGTGGAGATGTCTGTGAGAGGTCATTGAGACTTGTTACAGTACATCTTATCCAACTTTACGGTTTTGTATCCTTGAACACTTGTATGTTTTTGACTACTGTCTGTGAATTGACCTAGGAAACACTCATGGTCAACGATTAAACACACAGTAATACACTCAGTGACAAAAAAAGTTAAGCACTCAGACGGAGTGGTGGAAATGAAATGAATCTGCATGTGGTGAAAGGTCATGTGAATGTATCGCAATGATTATAATATCAGATCAAACGGATAACGGAGTTGGCAGTATGGGCACACTGCTGATCCCATGTCAGTATGGTGTGCCCACCCCCCCCCCCACCTCGGGCCTGGATACATGCGGCGATACGGTGTGGAAGGGAGTCATACAACCGCTGTATCCTCTTCTGCGGCAAGTTGTTGTAACTGGCCCTCGAGATCCTGCAGATTGGCACTGGGTCTGAGTTGATGTCTGAACTGATCCCACACATGTTCGATTGGGGAAAGATCAGGGACCTGGCTGGCCACGGGAGGACCTCAACATGACACAGGCAGTCCATAGACACACATGCTGTGTGGACGGGCGCTGTCTTGTTGAAAGACTGTACCAGGGTGCTGTCTCGGGAGGGGTAAGGCATGTGGACGCAGGATGTCACTGACGTAGCGCTTAGCCGTCAGGGTCCCCCGAAATCATTAGCAAAGATGACGTGAAGTCATACCCTCCCCTCTGCAACGCCATACGCACACACAACGGTCATCTGTGGTAATGCAGAACCGAGATTCATCGCTGAACCTGGTACAACGCCACTCATCATCAGTCCATGCTTCCCGCTTACAGCACCAGTCCAAACACAGCCGTCTCTGTGCTGGTGTTAACAGCAGTCTGCGCATGGGACGGTGAACCCACAGTCCGGCTGATGCCAGTCGCTGAGACACGGTGCGGGATGACGTAGGTGATGTAGAGAGTCCAGTTCCTGTGTCCGGATGGTAGGCGCAGATGTCATGGGGTTCTGTAATGCTTGCCGCACAATATGACGATCCTTATATTGTGGTCTGTCTTGGGCGACCAGAACCTTCTCGACGTGTGTGGGTGCCCTCACGTGCCCATTGGTCCCAGCATCGGGCGACTGTGACATCTGCATGCCGGGCAATTGCAGGATATGACCACCCAGCCTCATGCAAACCCACAATGTGACCCCTATCAAACTCTGTCAAGTGTTGGTAATGCTGTCTAATGCGTCTACGAGGCATCCTCTGTGTCTGGTGACTAGACATGACAGCTCCATGCAAATCAAATCATTTACATTCTCATCACTGGTCTGCACAGGTACCAAATTACATCCAAATTGGACCATTACTTCTGGGTGTTTAACTATACTGACAAAAACATTCTTTAAAGCAATATAAAGAGCAGAAGCTACAGTCAGTATCATAAGACGAACCACCTTGTTCGGCCAACTTCAAAGTAAATAACATGAACAGATTGAACCAAAGTGCTGAACTCTCAAACAAGAACAGCTCTAAAGTGCATTGTCTGATCTATTTAAGCACTTTACAAATGAACCATGTTAACAAAATTAACTCTTGCTCCTAAGGTTTCTGTGGTGTGATCATTATATTCCTAGTCAATCATTAACACTTTGGCCAAACTCACTGAGAGGCAAGCAGTAATTAATGCAGGAATCATAGATTCTAAACATTTTTTTTTCCAGCGAGAGCGCTCCATCTCTAATCATGAATGTTTAGAGAGCCATTATTGGTGTTTTAGATCCAGGTTTTCTGTTGATGTTGATAAATTGACCTGTAATATGGGTCAGAAGCAGTAGCCGCTAAGACCTGCACCGAATCTGTCTGCAAAGTTACTTCTAGCTGTAAATCTCTTGCCTGCAGAGGAAATGGTCTCTGTGGCAGCTCTTTGTTCCAAATCCACGTTAGAGATTTCAGTAGCTAATCTAACACCTTTTTTTTTTATTATTATTTTTTTAATTGCAAGCGTAACTGTGGTCAGAGCACACGCCAGCAGACTGGTTCTCTTGCTCACTTCCTTGGCGGTCTGCTTTACAAGTAGAATTTCTGTGAGTCTCGATCACCAGTTCCAGTTCTGAAGATGACATTTAAAGGTCAAGGACTCGGTAACCATGAGCGACGGCGGCGCCTCATGGCTGCATCTCAACTTCCTGGCTGCATGTAAATTTCCTGCCACAAACCCAATGGTGCACAAAACCGTCAGTGTCACAGCCGCACGAAAAACTTTTGTTCAGAGTTCTGTTAGCTGCCCCGTTCCGTTAAACCATACCTCAGGGCTTGCTCCTTGGAAAATCTGAAGTTTAATTTTTATCCTCTCTCGGCTTACTGTGCTAAATGTATTTCTGATACCTAAGACCGTCGCAGTTGCAAATGACCTTCAGATAATCTAGCTGTCTGGTTTATATATCTTTGTGTCCTGAGTAATCAAGTTTGCAGGGAGCTGTGTCTAAACCCAGGAGTCTGTTACACTGCTTGCTTGTGCTGTTTGTCATCATTGTACCAATAGGTCTGCTGTAAACTACATGTGTCTTACTTGGCTTTACAGCAAGGCCTCCCTGCAGATGTGTGTGGACGTGCCCAGATCCCTAAACCTCGCCCTGTTCACACCTGAAGTCTACTGCCAACTCTCCACCAGCAACCCCCACCGCTACCATTTGGACCCTCTCAGCGTCTTGACCCAAGCACTCACCCCTTAAGGAGAAGCTCTCCGATCTGCATCCGAAGCCAGGAATTGCACAATAGCATGCCCCAGACTGTAACCTTTGACCTCTGACATCTGTTGCTTTTACTACCAATAGAGCACAGAACTCTGAGTGCAGTTTCATCTTGTTACTTCTTCTTAAGGGATTGTCTTGTGATATGACTCCACTAACTGATCCATGTTGGACGTGTCTGTGCTGAGCCGGTATCCTCTGTAGGGGATGTTGCTTCTTTTTACTCCATTAAGCAGGTTTGTCATCATTAAAATAATTATTTGTGGAGCACCCTGCCATTACACAGCCCACAGACCACACACTCTATCTCTTACCAAGAAACCATGAATTGCATCATTTCCTGTGTATGCTTAACCATCCTGTACCTATGCATGCAGTGCATCTACTGCTTATGATTATTCTTATTGCCAAATTGGGCAATAAGAGAAGTTTTGCACACCTTAACTATTGGTTCCATGTTCACCTTCAGTCAGGGTGAGGGTTTTCTGTCCTATGTAGCTTAGGAAAGTAAAAATAAATTTCATGTAATTAATAACTTAATGACTGATACTTTATTGATCCCTGTTGGGAAATTCTCTTTACACCTCCCCCGACTTCCTCTCTGTAGATGAGAGTAAGCAGGCTGTGAAGGGCAGCCTCCCATAGCAGCGCCCAAGCAGCTGGGGGGGTCTCTGGACCCCCACGACCCTGCATAGGACAAGCAGGTATAGAAAAATGGATGGGTGGGTGGTAACATTATTATTTAATTGCATACGTATAAGTAGCGCTTACTGTTTTTTGAAATAGGTGGCTGGAGAAAAACCTAATTTTCAATCTATTTCTTATGGTGCTATAGAGGCATTTTGCCAAAGACGTGTGATAATATCACTGTGGTTGCAAGCCTCCACGTTTGTGTAGTTTTTTTTTTTCTTCAGAAGAAAACCCTCTGGTAGGAAAAAATAATCTTAGTTGCCCAAGGTGCACACTGCTACATTATAAGAGTGATGTAAGAAATGGAACCATGTGCTGTTTCAGGTGGCGTCTGGTTATAACACGGAGAGCCGCCGAGTCAGTAGTTGACACGTGTGACATTCAGTATTACAGAGATCCGCCGGGGTGTGTCTGCGGTCAGAGCCGGACCTGGTCCATCTTGTGCTTGCCAGGAGCTGCCCACATGTGCGGTAACGATATTAATCATGGTTCCCCTCATCCTGGGGAGAAATTCGACGTCAGCTTTAATAGCACGTTTTCTATTTTGTCTATATAAGCGTGTGATTTTACGTTTAGGTGTTTCGCGGTTTCAGCTAATTTTATTCTGTACCTTCTTCAAGTGAGGAGTTTTAAGCAATCTTAAGGATAATCATGGTTCTTAGAAAGAGGGTATTGCTGCAATGTTAATCGGCTGCTTGATCAACCTTATCTAGTGACAGAAGCAATTATCACACATATTTATACGTGTTGGAATGCATTAAATATGTGACTGTTTTCATATTTAAATGCTGTATTAATAGAAAAATGACATTGCATTAAAATCAATTATCGTTTTCCTCTATGTTCGACCTTTTTTTGACCTTTTTAATGTGCGAGGGGGGGGGGGTGTTTTAAGTGACCTTTTCTGACCGGCGACGATCACACAAAGTCTCCCGATGGGGGCCACCCCCGATCACGAAGATTTACGGAGAGGCACCCCCCAGCCCTCTGAAAAGTCTGTGGATGTCATTGCCCCTGTGTATGGTGACCCCCTAATCCAAGTCGGGGGGTGGGGGGGGGAACACGATGAGCTACTTCCGGTTTTACAAACTACTTTCAAACTGAAAGGCTCCTGTGCTGGGTTAAATAGTTTGGTTCTTCTTGTGCTTTGACTGGTTCGTTTCCTTGTTTGAAAGACTCATCCAGCTGTTTCACATTAACATTAGTGACACATGCATGGTTATAGGAGACTGACCAATCAGCATACAGCAAGAACTCAGTGCTTAAGTGTAATCCAGGTCCTTTTAGTGAAAATGGTGTTACCATTCTAGTGATATGTGGATGGAGCCATCAGTAATAACATGCCACATATTGAGCTGAAGAATTGCATCTCGGCATTTTCTGGTGAGAGTGACATCTGCCCCAAAGACAGCCAGCTTCCATGAGGTGCACCTTTGCAACGTTACCATCCAGATGAGTCTGGAGAACATGGACAGGATGATAAAGGTTTTCTTCCCACCAGAGCCGGAGGTATGCTGGGGCTGCTAGTGAACTTTTTCAACACTGGACACAGCACCCTGCTAAGGAGTGCCAGGTAAAGACTCCAAACTCTATATTGTTATTAAGATTGTCTGCTTATTGGTCACTCTAAAACCAACTGTAACACCTAGGATCGTCATTTCTTGATTGGTTGCTTGACAGGTGATGGCAGAGTCTTGTCAGGAAGGATACATGGATGCACTTCTCTTTCTGAAGGCAAATGGTGAGTGTGGCTAATCCTTGTCAGAAAACATGGGTAAATCTGTTCTGAGTGGCACCAGAATGTGTGCTCTTTGTTTTTAGAAATTCACTGCTTACCAGAGACTCAAACATGCAGGGGAGAAGACTGATGCTTGCTTTAGATTTCACATCTTAAGGATGGACAATCCTTTCTCCCGCCAGCCAGACCACAAGAACCCTGTTTGTTTTTCCTGGTCCTTAAGTAGAAAGTGGGCATTCTATCTCCACCATAGATCCCCCCCTTCTACTCATAACCTTAGATGTGGGTGTTGGTCTTTCCTGTCCTATTTTTTTGAGCAGTGGTGATCGTTGACAAAGAGAGGTGGATAGTTCAGGTCCAGGAAGTAGAAATCCAGACCAAGATTTTGTTTCAACCAACCAACAGAGTAGTCTGTGACTGTGACTCTTTATACTCGACTGGTTGGTTAAAACAAAATCTTGGTCTGGATTTTTACCTTCTGGACCTGTACTACCCATCTCTGTTGACAATGGGCATTGGTTGAATAAGAGTAGAATCCTCCAACACTTTGCCATGACAGTAAATTGCTTGCCTTGGGGACTGAGCTCCCTCTGCAGAATAAGCCATACTGGTGGCTTGATGAGCAACTTGTGGAAGACCTGTCAACACAATTAAAAAAAAGTAATTAATCCCAAATGGACTGCATTGAGGTCCAGTGGCCCATGTTACCTGACTGTTGCATTTGTTGCATCTGTTTTGTCAGGCCTGCAAGGAAAGGCATGATTTGGATGCATGGTGTAGATGCAAAGGTGCTTCTAGTGCATGGCATGGTCTCCAGTATACTACCATGCAGCCATCCTGTGGAATTTGCCTACTCTGTTGCTCAAAGGTATGAAGAAGTGACTGCAATTGCTGTTTAGCCAATATGGCTCATTACTAGTCCGGAGTTGATTAAACTTGATCTGATGTAGATTACAATTAGTTTATGCATCGATCTTTGACAGGCCAATTTGAGCTTGGTAATCAATGGATTGATGTCGTTGCATTAGGTTATCAGAGTGGCTTCCAAATGTATCCAGTGATGTGCACTGGCTTTGTGGTTTAGCCAGTGACTTGTGCAGGCAGTTGTGGGAAGAGGGAGGGCTAAGAATCAGATGGGTAAGAAAATGCCACCCCTGGATTGGTCTTGTGTATTAATGTTTACCTTTCTGGGGAGATTTGCAGACAAGCAAAGCTTGTGCACCCACACCCAGTCTCATAGGATGTCTAGCTACTGTCTACTGGGACTCTGTCCTGCCTCTAACCCCACCCCCTTCCCCAACATCTGAGATGGAGCCAGGTGGCCAGGGTGTCTCTGGGGACCTTGAGCTGGCAGAGAAGCAAACACCCGCTCCGGATGCTTCCTGGGCTCAGCTCTTTTGGCTGGTAGCTGGGCGGAAGAGTCTTTTGACCTCCAACCCAGAGGTGCGACTTCAGAGCCCATTGCTGTTTCTGTACTTGGGGCTGTAAACATCAAGAATAGGTGGAAATAAAACATGATGTGCAGTATGACCATGTGTGGCTTATTTAGGATGCGTCTCATGTGAATTAATCAGGGGCGCAGTGTCTATAGAGATCCAGCTTTGTGTTGGCTAGAATAGTTTCTTGTATAGGTCTTGATGCGACTTAACTGCTATACCCTAAACACGCTGCGTGTTACCTTGCAGTGGCTTGTGTTTTGAGACTGATTGCTTTGTGTTAGGATCTGGAAGGCGGCTGCCTGACCTGGAATATGAAACGATTAGATGGAGCCAAGGTCAGGGTGGCACCACAAGCTTGGTTAGCTGGGGGGGGGGGGAATGAGGAGTCTGGCACAGCATGTTAAACTAATGAGTCGTGTTGCCGTAAACGATGGGTGTCACCAATGGCTGAAGCAGCATCGGTGGCCCACAGTAAGGTCTGTGTAGGGGGAGATGGTGGGGGTGGGGAAGGCCTGACCCACACCGAAGGACACTTCACACTGAGATTAACACTGCCTTCAGATATCCAGCTGAAATCTTTCTATCTCTGTGGGAGCCCCAGATGAGGCTGTCATATGTACACTGGCATATGGGGGCATCTGAAGTAGATGGGATGGGGGGGGGGGAGAGAGAGACATATGCCCACCAATATTGGAAAAACATCAGAGTTTTCCTTTAATTATTTTTATTTTGCTATTGCCATTCGTGATAGTGCCTTTTGCTACTTCTGTCACAATACAGATGAAACTTGTTGCAGAGGCCAGTTTGGTGGGCAGTGGTCGCTTAATTAGGGAAATGCCCTTGTAATTGAAAGATTGTTGGTTCAAATCCCCGACCAGCAAGGCACCAATGATGTACCCTGAGCAACGTACTGCCCCCAAGCACTGCTCCCCGGCTGCTGAATTAGCTGCCCCCTGCTAAGTCACATATGGGTTAAATGCAGAGGGCACATTTTGTTGTTGTGTGCTGTGGTGTGTCAACACTAAATCTAAATGCAGAGCACAAGGACAAAAGTATACCTAACAAAGGTTGTAGTAATAACTAATAAAAGTCTGTGTAGGCAGATTTAAAAATTTGGAAAAATTTCAGCTGAAGGTGGGGGGGGGGGTTATGTTCTGAATGGCTCAGAGTCCTGATGGACTGGAAAATAAGGTTATTGCAGGAAACAGAGTATTGGAACTATGGGGGTAAATTATGGGGGTGTGCAACCAAAGCACCCCCACCAAAGCTTTGATATACTTGCCATTTTTAATGCTAAACTAACTACATTATATAGTTATATTCTAGATTTATTACAGCCAAACACATCTTGGAGCTCTGAAGAACCTCATTGCCAACCCCCCCCCA